TATATATATAAAATTATAAAATGGAAAAATATTATTCTTCTCTTATTCTTTCTTTTTCTCTGTATTTCTTATTCTACTATATTATAAAATATTACACAACATATAAACATATAAATATATACACAACGTATAAACTGTTATACAATTTACCATGTTTTAAAAATTAATTTATAAATTAAACTGGTCTAGTAAATCGATTGTAGCACAGATAAATAGCACAAAATTTAATATATTGTTCTAGTTTGATCATGTTGCGTCTCGCGGAATGATAAAAGCTAACTAACATAGAATACTTTCATCAAAGATAAGGAAGCATTTCAGCTTACTAGTTTCAGTATTAGTTTCACTAATCTAATCTGATTATTTTCATTTGTAGACGTAATTAATATAGACGTATAATACAGATACAATTAGAGCATATATGATAGGAGAACATTGTTAGAAAATTGAATAGAAAATATCTTTGTAAATATGCTATAAGATGAATATTATTATACATATACTTATGTACATAATTGTAAATAATACATGGAAAACACGATGTTATTGTAGTATCTAAAAATTTTGCTAGATACAGCTCTAAAAATAATTTTGTTATATTATCAAAATAATTATGCAAAATGCGATTTTATGCGATTAAACTAGTTGTTAGAACGTCAACAGTATAGAACGTATAATATTAGTATAATATTAGTCGTCAATGTTCTATCTAAAAGGAAAGGATTAAAAATTTTAGTTTAATAAACTTTAACACTTATACATATATAAATTGTATTATATAAAATTGGAAACTATGATCTTCTTTTTCTGTCTATTTATGTCTATATCTATTGTATACATCAAACTTGACATATCCTAAAATAGCACGCCAGTGAATCACAGAAAACACATTACAAAGATTATATAGACTAATAATATAATGAACAGAAGATCTCTTTGCGTTATAGCAAGATTATACCGTTGACATTAATTAGGTTATCGATTATTTTAATCATTGAAAGGGATCACATTTATGGTTAAAATGTTTGAATACATTTTATGATTGTATAATATTAATAAATTAAATATTAATAAATCACCAAACATCAACCAGCTGGGCTATAATAGCTCTGTTTTTGCATTCTATTGAATTTTATTCAATATAGCTAATAATATCTTGTGATAATAATTATAATATACATCCATAGGAAAATAATATATCATATTTATTATATTACTTAACTGCTTTATTAATTATCAATAATTAATTATCAAAATCTTATAATAAAGCTTTTATAATTATATTACAAAAAAATTATATTACGTTAATCTTATGTGCGTATTTTATTATTCGGCAATAATCAAATTTTAATTTTTTGTGTTCTAATAATTAATAATAATTAATAATAATACGTGGCACCCAGACATTACAAATTTATTATATATCAATTACTTCAGTTTTATTACTATATACATCTTTTTTATTATTATATAATAAA